GGCGTCTGACCCTGAAGGAGCCGGCCTTTCCCTTCGGGGTTGCGCGCTCCCCCGCCAGCGGGCCCTGCGACTTTCCGTACCGCGTCCCTTCTCCTTCCTTTCTGGAGTAGGGGCGGCACTTGCGCCGGAAGCACACTTTTTAACGGTTCTTTGACCTGTTTGGAGCGGAGCCTGTTGGGTGGGACGAGCGTCTCCTCCACGCTGCGCTGCCCCCCTCGCGTTCCCCTCTAGGGCAGGGCTGCGGAGCAGGGAAGGGCGCGTTGTGAGGCTGCATCTAGGGCTTGCCGCGCAGGAGCCTGCGCTCGCCGGTACCGACATTGTCAGCTTCGTGTCGACCCCACACCGCCTCGCGGAAACCCCTCGGTCCGAGTTGGCTCCCTCCATCGCCAGCGCATGGCGGAGTCCTGTGCCTTGCGTGTTCCCGGGCAGCTCTTGTGCGGCGCACCCCGTGCTGGGGGTTGTGTCCGGTTGGGGAGGGGCGCGGGAGGACAGCAGGTAACGCCCCGGCCTCCGGGCGCACACGTCGGGCTGGGGAGACGGCTCAAACAGTGAAGCCCTGTGTGGGCCCCTCTGCAGTGCGGCAGCGAGGACCGTGGGCCGCAGGAATTGGGTGACTTGGGGGGGTTGGCTCCTGGGATCTGGAAGAGGTGACATCTCCGGGGCGAAAGCGCGAGCAGCCCTGTGAAAACGGGCAGGCGATGGAGAAAGCGCTCCGGGGCAGAGGCACCGCGGGCAGCGGCCCCGAGTGCATGTTGCGCTGGGAGTGAAGTGAGAGCAGGGTGCACACGGGACGGGGCGGCGGGGGGGTGGGGGGTGATGAATGGAATGGGGGATGTGAGTCAGCAGCATAAAACGGACCGTCTTAACCATTTCTAAGTGCACAGTGGAGGTAAGGACACGCCGTGGGATGCAGCATCCCCTGAACTCTTGCTCTCATAAAATGAATTCTGTACCGAGGCCCCTTCCCCCAGCTCCTGCGACCACCCTCCTACTTTCTGTCTGTAAATGTGACTACTCGGGTGCCTCGTGTAAGTGGAACCCTACAAACATATTTGGGGGTTTTTGCGTGTGATTGGCTCATTTCACCTAACGTAGCATCTTTAATGTTCACACATGTTGCAGCATGTGTCAGGATTTCCTTACTTTTTAAGACTGAATAATGTTCCATTGTTTGCCATGGTGGACACTTGGGTTCCTTGCACCTTTTGGCTATTGTGAATAATGCTGTTATGAACGGGGCAGTGCATAACTCTTTGCTCTCAGTAGGATGGGGAAGATTTTGAAACCAAGGGGAGAAACCTATACAGTTTCCGGTCAGGTCCTTGGGGTAAGAACATGGTGAAAAAACTTTTAGAAACTGGAAGCTTAATACATACTCCCTTTATGTAAAGCATTTATGGAGGTTTTAAGATATGCCATACATTGAGTACTACTTTAGATAAATTATTGATATATCATTAAACATCAAGATACTAGTAAATGTGAGCCAGTTGTTATTTACCACATTTTGTAGCTGCGAAAATTAAGTTTTGGGGTTACAGATGGGCTGAGAGGAGGCTAACCGACCACATACCCACAAGTAATTATGAAACAAAACTCCCATGGGAGCCCAGCACCATGGCCACTGACCACTCACTAGTTTGGACAAGAATGTTGAGAGAAAGTATTCACATGTCAAGAGTGAATGTTCCCAGAAGAAAGAATAGGCTGACATCAAGAGCTTTCCCTGTCAAATGACTGGAATGTATAAGAGCTCAAACACCAAAACTGCATCTTCTGAGGTCCCTAAACGAGTATGGGAGTTAACTCCAGGTATGTTTATTGCCTTTAAAAAATACAAAATGCCAGGTAAGTATATCTTTGTAGGTAATATAAAAACACCACTTTCTAGTTAACACTTCATCTTTCATTTTACATTCTCAAACATCCTGTGAGGTCATTTAAAGCATTAAGTTACTTTGGCAGGTGAGGAAATTGAGGACCAGAAAGGGAAATTATTTACCTAATGTATGGCTGATTGGTACCAAGACTGCACTGAAAGCTGAACCCCTGGAATTCCCTCTGTGCTGTGGTCTCCCTTGCAAAGATAGATACCAGTGAGTGTCATCTTCCTCAGGAGTACATGAAGCTAGTGCTGTTTAAACTGTGCATTATGAACAGCATTCATACACTCAAGAAGATTGTGTGCCAGACACTTGGCAAAGCAGGGGAAAAATTGCTGTTCTTAGAAGAGATAGAAAAATAATAAAATATATATCGGGTAGGGTAAGTATTGTGGGAAAAATGAAGCAGTGAGGCAGTAATGGAGAATGCTGAGGAACGATTTCTGTTTAGTTGCTGCAAGAGGGGACAGAGGCTCACTGAGAAGAAAACTTAGCAAGGATCTGAAGAAGCGAGGGAACAAGCAATGTTCTTTATTTGGGAAAAGAGCATTCCAGGTAGAAAGAATGGAAAGTGCACAAATTATTCTGAGGCAGGAGGATGTCTACTACATTCTAAGAACAGAAAAGAGGCCAGGGTGACAGAGCAGAGCATGGGAGAGGAAAAGGAGGAAATGAGGTCATAGGTAACAGGATGCCAAGTTGTATAGGGACTACGGCATTGTGAGAGGAAGCCTTTTAAAGAATCACTTTTATTAAATAAAAGAATCACTTTAGGTCGTAGCAAATTTGGCTCAGTGGATAGAGCACAGGCCTGCGGACTGAAGGGTATTATGTTCCATTCCTGTCAAGGGTTCAATCCCCAGTAGGGGTCGTGCCGGAGGCAGCTAATCAGTGGTTCTCTCTCATCATTGATGTTTCTCTCTCTCCCTCTTCCTTCCTCTCTGAAAGCAATAAAAATAAAAGAATCACTTTAGCTTTTGTTTGAGAATAGATTGTAAGGGATCAGGGGTGGGGACAGGATGCTGCTGTAGACCAAGTGAGAGGCTGGTAGGTGGCTTGGGCAAAGTGCAAGCATTGGAGGGGTGAGATATCTGTATATATCCAAATAAAATGATACACAAGATTTGGTTGATTAATGCATGAAGGGTGTGAGAAAAAGGAGAGTTAGATGCCTGAGCCACTTGAAGAATGGAGTTGCCATTTACTAAAATGGGAAAGAATGGGAATAGATTAATTTTGGAAATGTTAAGTTTGAAATGCCTATTAACGTGGAAATACCAAGGATATATGAATCAAGTTCAGAATAAAGGTGCACGCTGAATCTGTAAATCTGGAAGACATAAAAGTTATCTGAGGATCCTTGGAGCACTCAAGCATTTCAGGGATTGAGATGTTTATGAAACCAAAGGAGACAGCAGCCACTGAAATACGAGGAAACCATGGAAGGAAATCAGGACGAGCAACCATGTCAATTGCCAAGAGGCTATATTGACCTTTGGCTCACATTGGAGTAGTGAGGATGAAAGCCTGATGGGAATGGCTTCAAAAAAGAAGGGTAGAGCCTGACTGGTTTGGCTCAGTGGATAGAGCGGCGGCCTGCAGGCTGAAAGGTCCCAGGTTCGATCCAGTCAAGGGCATGTACCTTGGTTGCAGGCACATCCCCAGTGGGGGGTGTGCAGGAGGCAGCTGATCGATGTTTCTAACTATCCCTCTCCCTTCCTCTCTGTAAAAAAATCAATAAAATATTTTTTTTTAAAAAAAAGAAGGGTAGAAACAGAACTGGAGAGAGGGAAGATAGGTAATTTGAAGGAGGAATTTAGTTTTAAGATTAGGGGAGCAATAAAGTGGGGTGATACTTTGTGGGAGCACTGGTCCTTGGAGACTGGGTATTAGATGGAGAAGATATGAGAAGCCGTAGACATATAGGAGAAACTTTATTGTAGATCAAGTAACCATTGCTAACAAGGAGCCATCAGACAAAACAGTTCTTCAAAGCAGCTCCACAAAGCAGCCACAGCAAACATAGGAGCCCACCTAGCAGCCGCTAATAAAGCAGTCCAGCAACCGGCTGGTCAACAACACATCTTCATACCAACTCAGACAAAAAAGGCTTCTTGCCAAACAGTGGCATCAGTATTTGGATTATAGAAAGGTACACCTGCGCAGTGTGTACAGTAAGATTGCTGTGTCCTTGCTTTTGCATCTGCATGTGGCAAGTTGGCCTTGAACATCCCACTGACTCTGACGGGCTCCCACACTCACATTGGTCTTGAACATCTGGACAGGGCCCCCACATACTTCAAGGTCAAAGAAGTAATATTTATGTCACCCATAAATATAGTATTTCTAAGTTACTAGTAAAAATTTTTATAAATATAACCTCAATACCACTATCTCACCTAAAAATAATTCTAAAAAACATTCATCTATTATATCATGTTAGTCTCCTTAAATGTTTATTTTTGCTACCAGATTTACTGAGATATAATTCAAATACCATACAATTAGCTCATTTAAAGTATACAACTTAATGAATTTCTAGTATCATCTACCCTCTCAATCTTTAAATTTTCCTATGTCTCATATTTTTGATACCAGATTTATTGAGATATAATTCATACATACAATTTGCCCATGTAAAGTATACAGTTCAATAGTCTTTAGTACATTCAGAGTTGTACAGTCACCACCACAATCCATTTTAGAACATTTTCATCACCCCACAAAGAAGTTCTATACCCATTAGGAGTCACTACCCATTTTATTATTCTTCCCATCTCATACAATAATGTTCATTCCAAAGCCAAGTTTATCAATCATTAAATCCAATAAGTTAAAAGCATTGTGAGAACAGGGAGATTATGCCAAAAGCCTTGACTCCTAAATTCTAATTCTTGGCTGTGCCTGCTCTCAGCTGGTCACATTCTCAGGGTCTTATCCACAGAGTAAAATATTGCACTAATGGTTTCTAAAGGCACACAAGCTTTATGATTTTATGCCTTTTTTTATTATCATTACAATTTTGAGGATGACAATTTTTATTAATGTCATCGGCTCTTCCTGTTTTTCTCTGCTTTCTGATTATGTTTTACTCAGCAACTGATTTATAGATACCTGGCCTCTAGGTATCAGTTCCTATAAGAAGTGCAGCTTAGCCCTAGCCAGTTTGGCTCAGTGGGTAGAGCATTGGCCCGCGGACTGAAGGGTCCCGGGTTCAATTCTGATCAAGGGCATGTATTTTGGTTGCAGACTCGATCCCCAGTAGGGGTTGTGCAGGAGGCAGTTGGTCGATATTTCTCTCTTATCGATGTTTCTAACTCTCTATCCCTCTCCCTTCCACTCTGTAAAAATCAATAAAAAATATATTTAAAAAGTAACTGCAGCTTGGTCAGAGAAAACTTGCTAGATCAAAATATGAGCAAGTGACCATCTCAGGGTGGTAAGATTATTGGTTATTTTTAAACTTATGCCATATTCTTTATTCTACAAACATATTTTTTATAATTTTTAAAAGTCATTCTTAAAGGATTTGATGGAATGCCCTAACAAACAGAAATTGCTAAACTCTGGGTAAGAGGATTTTCCCCCCTGTGATTCAGTTAAGCAGTATCTTCCAGTCTAGGGTAGCCAAAATACTTTAGTAACCCTCTTCAATAATCTCAGTGAAAAAGAAAGTATGGCCCTACTGGTTTGGCTCAGTGGATAGAGCATCAGCCTGCATGCAGACTGAAGGGTCCCGGTTTGATTCTGGTCAAGGGTACATGGCCAGGATACGGGCTAGATTGGGCGTGCAGGAGGCAGCCGATCAATCTCATCGTTGTTTCTATCTTTCCTTCCCTCTCCCTTCCTCTCTGAAATCAATTATATATATATATATATATATATATGAAAATATGAGGAGAATTTGAGATATTGCTCCCTGGCATATTTGCCAGTTTGGCTCAAATAAACTCTTATAAAAATTAAAGTAAAAATGAAGTATGCCTATAGAAATTTAAATTCAGCAATTCATATATCAACATCTGTGTAATAGTCCACATGTAATCTGGCTTTGCACTACTTGGGGAACAGGTAGTCTCTGCTAGAGAAGTAATGTGTGTCACAGAAATGTGTGGGCAAAAGCAGGGTGTGTCTTTTATACGTGATAGAAACAGATTAGAAAGTAGTTTGCTAGTTCAAGTTTGTAACCACTCCCTGGAGTGCAATTACTCTCATTATTTGGCTTACATGGTAAGTATCACCCACTGAAGGACAATGCAGGTGTCTGGCTTACCTCTCATGAGTTTTCTTATGCTGCCAGTGTGAGCCTCTTTAAACACTACAGTGGCAGTTACCAGAGAACTGATAGATTCGGGGGTGCCCTCATGGCCGTCAACTCACTATGAGTCCCAAAGAAGTCACTTAGTCTAGTCAGAAGCATTAAGGTCACTTCAGTGGAGAGGATAGTTCTAGTTGCCAGTGTTGTCACAACTAGTGAAGTTGATGCTACAAAGTCCACTTGTCAGTAACCATGGCAGAGTGAAAGTCGGTGTTCTTACCACAAGAAGCATGACAAATCCATGTGGTCTGTGGACAGCTCTGATGCAAAGCAAAGGATCAGGTATCCCTTTAAACATTCCCTGTTGCCAGTGTGTCATAATCTGGACCTGTTCAGGCTTTTAGAAGAGCAGTCCTTACCTAGTAAAGTCAAAGGGCAAATGCCAACAAGTAGGTAACCGGACATAGAGTTTTCCTTTGAACCGCCATCAGTGAGGTCTCTCAAGCAACATGGATCCCTGCCAATTCTCAGATGGACTCTTGCGCCAGTGGACCAATCAGCCCATCCAAATGCAGAGAGCCATTTGGAAACATTCAAAACCAAGTGAAGGGGCAATTTTCTTTCATTTATATGTTATCTAATAGCCTCTACTTTCCCAGAACGTGGCC